AAAAAAAAATTTTTAAAGAAGATTTAAACATGCGGAAACTGTATGCAAAAATTGTTCCAAAAGTTTTGACTGATGAGCAAAAACAAAGACGTGTTGACTGTTGCAATGACTGGATCGAAAATGCTCAAGATTCAAATTTTCTCAAAAGGGTGGTAACTGGAGACGAATCCTGAAATTACGAGTATGATCCTGAAACAAAAAGGCAGATTGGAACCACCATGGTTCGCCTCGCACCAAAAAAGCGCGCAAGAGTCGTTCAAAAATCAAGAACATGCTCATAGTTTTTATCGATATTTGTGGAGTTGTTCATGAATATGTTCCTAGAAGATGAATCTGTTAATACAAAATTCTATATTGAAGTCTTAAAGCGTCTGCGTGAACGTGTCCGACGTACATGATCCAAATCGTGAGCGGAGAACACATGGATTCTGCATCACCTTCGATAATGCACTTTCGCACACCGTGATTAAGTTACATTTTAAATATAAGGGTAAGCTAGAAATTTAAAAAAAAATTGCATCTTTAATTTAACAATAACGTAACAGAAATAATAGCGATTATTATTTCAATTACCTCTAGTCAGAAATGTTAGACTGGTTTACTCCAGGTTAATTCAGAAAGAAACCTGAGAATTAAGTAGAGTAGAGAGTACATATATGCGTTTTAGACAAATCTCCGTTTAGTAACACCTCTATGTGCACAAACCGTGTATGTTGAACTATGCAGTCATAAACATTTTTAGGGGTAACATATTAACAATAGATATACCCAGTGAGAAATGACAATGATCTCGACATCAAATAGACATCGATCCAATCGTTATTTCTCACTGAGTATGGCCATTGCACGAAATATAATTAAACAAAAAAAAAATCGAAAGAAAACTGTGAATATATCAAGTTTCAAGCTTAAAATATTTATAATGTATATAGTATATAATATATAACCTTTCAAATATATAACTGAAAAACGAGGAATAAAATTATTCTTCATTATATTGGCATTATGTATATAGTATATTATAATCTCATCACAATTTTCTACAATCTTATTACAATTGTGAATGACATACTAATAAATTTCGTACGTATTCTAAGTTATTAATAATAATAATATAAAAGTTGAAAACAATTTTATTATAAATAATTATTCTTAGAATCTTCTTATCAATTTATAATTAATTTACTGCAGTCTTAAATTCTTTTTGAAATGATAATAAATGTGACATTTTATCGATATCACTCTTACTGTCATGCTTTAATCATTGTTAATTGTCTTATACATCAGATTGATGGCAATACCTAATGTATTCACTATTCAAGTACAGATAAAATTATTTATATTTATTTTTTTATAAGTATTCTTATAATTACAAAATTTCAGTTTGATAGTATTGTAATTTTAGATAATTATACTTTAAGATTTATTACTTTAAGAAATTGATAATTATGGTTCAGAAAAAAATCATATACAAGTTTCATATACAAGTATATATAATTATATAAAATAATATAAAATTATATATAAAATTAGTGGCGTAGCCAGGGGTGGGGACAGCAGCTCTCCCTGAATAATTTCAATAATTTCAAAGGAATATGTAAAAAATTGTTAAGCCGTAAATATCAATTTGTTTTAGGAAAAGAATTTAAATCCTGTTGGGATAGAGTTCTCATATTTTATTTAATTGCAAAAAATTGTTTATTATGTATTAAAAATACATTTATTCATTTTTGTTCATATTTGGGTACGTAAAACAAAATTCGATAATTTTCACGAAAAAAAATGTTACTACTAATACAACCGCAAAAAATGGCGTTGGGAAAACGGCAGCACTTCAAGTCGCGAAATCTCACTGGAAATTAATAATAATATTTATTATTCAAAATTTTTTGCTATAATCTTTGACAAATTCTGCGATTTATAGAGCTATTCTAAAATTTTTGAAGCATTTTACAACAAAATAGCGAATTTTTAATAACATTTTGCGAATTTTTTTTCAATCGTAAAAGTTGTGTTACAAATTTTCGTATTAAAAATTTCCATTAATGATATA